TATTTTTCATATTAATTTATTTAATTTTATTTAAATAAAAATTTTAATATATCGTATTTTTTTTTAATTTATCTTATTTTTTAAAAATTCTAAACTATAATTACACATATACATATATATGTATTATATATTTATAATATATATTTAATATATTAATATATTATATATATAATATATTTACATAATTACATAAATATATATTTATTTTCTGAATCATTGTCAGGGCAACGCATCATAATGGCTGCCATCGAAATATTTTCGAGTTCTATTGATTATAAGTATAAAAGTAAAATATGTTCTTTAAGCTTTTTCATTGTATTATTACTCATAATTTTATCATTGATTACACCACTTTTTATTATTTATAATACAGGAGGTATATTTTTTAATATGTTATTTTGTGTATATTACAAATATGATTGTTATATATTTTTATTATTTTGTTGCTCAGTTAATTATTATAATTTTTAGGTTTCTTATTGAAGAATCGTGTACTCATGGAAAAACCTGATGTGTTTTTTAATTATAAATATTTATTATTAGCAAATAAAGATTTTAATACAAATCCTATAATCTGTTCAAGTTTTAAAATGTACAAGGATAATGAAATTGAAGATAATTGTACATTAATAAAGGTTTTATCTTTATATTATTATAATGTATAATGTAAAAATTTCATAGTGCAAATTATTGTACTAATATCTATTCAATTTTTTTTTTGTATATATTTTTTTTATTAATCTTTTGAGATTTTAGGTTCGAGAAATAGATACAAATATTGATGGTAAAAACGATATTTTAAAGTTTGAGGCACATTTTTATACAAATAAACCTATAAAGTCTCTTAAACTTTTACTTTTCTTTAATTTTCAATTAAAGGTAAAAATTTGATTATTTTTATTTTATTATTTACAAGTAATGACATATTAATTTGTTATAGCAATTGTTTGATGCAACAATAGAATCTATTGCATTCTTTACTCATGTATTAAATGAAGAAGTTCAAAAAATACAGTTTTATGGAGATTTAGTATTGCAACAAAAAGGTCTTCTTACTAGTGAAGGCTTATATGAAGTATATAATCATAGTTTGGAAATTGCTGATTATTCTTTGAATGAAGTACTTATGCAAAATTTTAATAAAAAATGTTAGTAGCATTTTTCGGTATAATTTTTTGTAGTTAAAAAATATAATAAAAAAATAAAATTTATTTCAGTTACAGCAAAAATAAATAATAAATATATAAGTGAACAAATAGGTAATGTAAATGAAAATATAATAGTCATTCAAGGAGAATTATTTTATAGAGAACATTTAATTTATTATCAGCCTAATATTTTGGAAGAATTAAAGTGGATATGGGTGCAGTATTTTTCTACTTTTCTTGTTTTTGCTTATGTAGCAAGACATATTTTAATTTTTTTATTTTCAAATCGATATTTGAATTGTTATATAATAATACCATGGAAAAATAAATAATATGTATATATTATTAATTAATAATTATTTAAATTATTTTTTTTATCTTCTTTTTTATTGGATTTATAATTTTTTTTCGTAAATTGTAAATAATTATTTAATCTAATTGTTAATGTAAAAGATATTAAAAATATTAAAAGTTAAAATATTAAAAATTTTCACAATATTTTTAATGTTATTTTTAATATTATATTGTATATTGTCTAAATTTTATATTACAAATAAATTTTTTAATTTATGCGATTTTTATGATATATTAAATTTAATATGTAATATAATATTAAATTCCTATGTAATATAATATTTAAATACTAATATCGAATATCATAAATTGAATTATATAATATTAAATTGTTTATTTATATATAGAACTATATTTTTATGAATTTGTAAAAATAATAATTATATATAATTATAATAAAAAGAAAACAAAAAATTAATAAGAAATATTATATATATATTTATAATATTTTCATTATATTACGATTATAAAATATAAATAATTATAATTGATTCTCTAATCGTTAATCGTTAATCGAAAAATAATTCTCTTTTATTATAGGAAAATTAATTCTCTTTTATTATATTAATAACTTATTGTAATAAATAACATTTACTTTTGTATTTCCTAATAGATTTAGATTAATTGATAATAAGTTGATAAGTTGATATTTTTTTATATAAATTTCATTTTTAATGTTTATATTTAATAATATATAAATAAAATTAAGAATTGTTTTTTTTCTAAATTGTTATTTAAAAATTCGCATAATTTTAGAATTATATACAAATATAAATAATTTTAAGTTACGTAATATTTATTTTGAATATTATTTAAATAAATTAATTTTGAATTTTTTTTATATAATATAAAAAAAGATACAATATTTTATTATTTAAAATAAATTTATCATATTTTTACTATTTGTATGTCTTAAGTTCTAATATTTTATTTTGATTAATATAAAAGGAAGTGATTGATTTAATTATCAATTATCAACTATAAATAAATTTTTTTGTCATTATTATTAATGAAATGATATAATAAAAGACTATTTTATAAAATTTTTTAAATCGATTTTATCTTTTTAAAATTTTTTAATTATATATAACTTCAATTTTTGAAAAAAATTGCTTTTATTTTAATTATAAATACATAGTTTTTTTCTTAGAGATTTGACAATTTATGATCGAAAATTATTGTCAATCTTAGCCAAGATCTTTAGAAAACGCATCAAATTGTTTATACAAAACAGAATAGAAAAATTTATTTTCGCGGAATATAAATAAGAAAACTCTGATTTCGAAGAAATTTGAAAGAGTCTTGTGATTGGTGGAACTAACAACCCTTCTGAACTACGCGCCCGGCCAGTTCAATGAGGGTGGAGACTGCGCCGTGTTCCGTTCCATTCTTCGTTTATCATATTCTTGACACGCGATTTTTTTGTAAATTATTTATACCACAAATGTTTTAGTGGCCATTTAAAATGATTCACAAACAATCGAGTATGTCAGAAAGAAATAAACCCTGATCAAAAGGAGAACAGGGTGAGTGTGTAGTGAAGAAGTGTTGTTAGTAGAGATTACGGATGCTGCCACGATATGTTTACCGAACCTTGCACCAAATCTTTCGTATTTTTATTTCATATGGCAAACATTTTTGCTTTTCATATCATATTTTATTACATTTTAAGAACGTTCCTTTTATCAAGAAATATATTTTTGTAATTTCAAAAAAAATTTCTTTTTCTTTTTTAAGAAAAGACATAATATGATGTTTTATAATGATTATAATGAATCGTATACAATGTCGTTTTTAAATTATGAGAAAAGTTGTGATTCTAAAGTGAAAACGAATTTGTATTATAATAGCATAGAATGTATATAATGATTTATTAATTTTTATTATAATATATTATTATATTATAATTTTAATAATTTACAATAATAATTAAACATTTATTAGTCTATTTTTTTATCATATTTATAAATTATGAATTATAATTTGCCATATGGTAATAAACAATAAACAATAAAATTCTAATATTATATTATTATTATTATTATTATATACTTTAATTTTAATGAAAAAGATAATATTTGTAAAATTTGTAAAAATATTAATATTCATATTTAATAAATGAGTTTTATTTATCTTTTGCGATAAAAATATTTTTTAAATTTTTGTTAATTTCAATTGATAAGGATTATAATAAAAATTGAATTTTAATGTTTAATTACTATTATTTTAATAGCCATAATTATTATTTATGTTGTTATAAAATAATGATTAAGATAATTATTTAATCATGATTATAATTGCAAAAATTATTGTAATAAATTACAAATTTATAATTAGTGTGTCAATACTGGAAAAATCATGTCCACAAGATCGAAAGAGAAAGTGGTGGCTGCTTTCCGAAAATTTTTTCGATCTTCAGAGAAGATTTCGGAACAAGATGGAGCAAGTAGTTCGACGAGTTCACCATCGAGAAGGCTTTTAAGTCGGCATCGTCCGGATGCAGTTACTCCCACTGATGGTGCATTGTCGGATAATCCGGGTGTTAGCAATTCCAATCATGGCAGTTGTTTCTTCAAATCGAAAAAAACCACTAATAATTCTACGCAGGTATTTTACATTACATGGTTATTTATAAAACAATATAAATACAAACATCTAATATATTTCTTATATTAAAAATAAAGATTAAAACAATTTTGTTCAAGAGTAAAAGTTTTAAATATATTTATGTTTAAATTTTAAATTTACTTTACTTTTTAAATTTTAAATATGATAAATATAATAATGATAAATATATAATGATAAATGAAAACTTTTTTAAATATAATTTTATGATTACTTTTAGGGAACCATGGCGATGCCGGATAAAAGAGTACGTTTACGTCGTTTAATGAAAGAGCTTAGTGAGATTCAAAGAATGCAGCATCGACTCGAATCGACTTTCACTGCAGAATTGGTAAATGACAATTTATTCGAATGGCATGTGAGACTACACAAGATTGATCCGGAAAGTGAACTGGCTGCAGATATGAGAGAGCTCAATATACCTTATATACTTCTTCACGTGGTATTTCCGGAGAATTTTCCGTTTGCGCCACCTTTTATGCGTGTTATTTCGCCAAGAATTGAAAAAGGATTCGTGATGGAAGGAGGTGCAATTTGTATGGAACTTCTTACACCTAGAGGCTGGGCTAGTGCATATACTATTGAAGCTGTAATCACACAATTTGCAGCTAGTATTGTTAAAGGCCAGGTGAAATGTCTTTTAAATTTTCTTTTATACTATTTTTAAATTTTCTATTTTATTCGAATTTTTATTGAACTCTCTCTCATTTAATACATTTATTTATTTGAAACACTATATAATATTTTTTTCATTTTAATTTCAAGTATTCAATTTTTCCACATATCTCTTAATATAATTTTTAATAATAAATAATTGATATATTAAAAAAAATTTATTTAAAATTATTTTTCAGGGTCGTGTAGCGAGAAAACCAAAAACGAACAAAGAATTTAACAGACGTTCCGCAGAAGAATCTTTCAGAAGTTTAGTAAAAACGCACGAGAAATATGGTTGGGTTACACCGCCGCTTGCAGAAGGTTGATCTACTAGATCATTTGAAAAATAAAAGACTTCGTTGTATTTAAAAAAAGTATACATATATATAGGTTATAAATGTGACTTTCGAGTCGGTATCATTATATTCTTTTTCCGTTCGGTAATAATAATAATATAATTATACTATAATAGCATTAAATAATGCCTTTATAAATGCAATATTTGGGAAAGGAATAATGGACGATAGCAAAATATTTAAAAAATTTTTAGAATTTTTGACTTGGTTGAAACGATGAAGTTCGCTTATAAAAACGTTATTTATTTTTCAAATTTATAATGAAAATTTATTGTAAATCTATCGTGACATTTGTATGAACAAAAATCATATTATAAAGATACATATTTTATAATTTTCATATAGTTATTCAAAAGTATTTCGATACTTTTGTTAACAAATTATGAAAAAATGTCTTTCATCTATGAATTTGATTTTATTTTATTAAAATATAAGAATAAGAATTAATGTTAACAAACATTAATAAACAAATTGAGCTTATATTACGATAATCGAGAAATTTGCGTTGCCAAATTATACGAATTACAATAAACATAACAATAAAATTAAGTAATTTTAATGAACATAAATGATACAAAATTTAATAAAATAATGTATATTTATAATAATTGTATTTATAAAACGGAGGAAGGAAAATGTAGTCTTTCAATTCAGTATTTCTTTATTTAAACTTCCATCTATTGGGTATCATGATGCCACAAATACATGCATAAATTTTTATATTGCGACGATTAATATTTAATTAATATTTAACAGTTAATAAAAAGATATAGATTTAAGTTTCGTTTTTACTATACAGTCAATTTAGGATAGAACAATGTAATATAATTTCTAATATACTGAAATTAAGATTATTCCATCATATACAGATACATATAAGTAAAATTCTGTACTATTTAAATTAATGCATTGATTGTATATTGATATGTTCTATTTACTTGATATGTTGTATTATTATTTATTATTGATCATAAAAAAATGAAAAATATAAAATATTGTTTATTATTTAATTTAAAATATTATTAATTAATAATATTATTTATTTAGTATTAGTAAGTAAAAATTAATTAAATAAAAAATTTATTACATTAATATGTTATATTTATCATAATATTTATTGTTTACAAATTTGTCGTTATTATATGTTGTTTTCTCATTAATACTCTTTATGTATTTTTAATTTCAATTTTATCATTGTAATTACAAAATAATAAATTTTCATGAATTTTTAATTTTCATTAATCTATTTCAATAATATTGTATAAAAATTACTATTTTGGTTGTAAGTTGGCTAAATTTATAATATTACATATTATAAGTTATATTTATATTATTATAATTTGATAATAACATAATTTACATATTATTTAATCATATTATTAAATCATTTTTAAATTTTTAAATTAAAATAACAATCATGATTTTTCTTAATATTTTAGAAACATTCTTACCTCATAATCATACAACATAATTAATATAATATTCAGCATTTTAAATATTGATATAATTATAAAATAATCATTATCTTGTAATGAAAAGTATTGTTTCAAAAACAAAATTATTAAATCAATTTATGAACTTGAGTAAATTAAAAGATAATTAACATATTCAGAATATTATTTATTAATTAAATTAATAACAAGTTATTAGTTTTAGTAGGAACAAATTTTATTAAAAAAAACACGGTATTTAACATTGTTATATTTAATTTTTTAATATAAATCTAATCATATTAAAAAATTATATTACAATAATTATAGGATTCAGAATTTCGTTATATACAAGGCACATCATCAATTATTATTTTTTGAATACATTTACTGTTATAATCAATCGCTTTAAATATATAAAAATACTCAAAAATATTTCAAAAAGAAACTTGTATTATATTAAGTTACAATAAAAATTGTAACAAATTATTTCATTTTTTTAAAAAACTTATTCATTAAATTATATACATTATAATTAAAACTGATGTATTCTTAGAAAGAGGCTAGAAAGGTATTATAATAATAGAAGATTAAATTTGTTAATCTACAAAAATTCAATACAGTAATATATAGTATAAAATATTATCTCTTTGTAAAACTTTTTTTACATTGTATAAAATATCCAATATTCTTAATATAATATGCAAGATATCGTTATATTTTTTATTTTTTAAATGCAAAATTTGACCAGATATGATATTACATACTTCTACAATAGTAGAAATATAATCATGAATTACAAAGTATATTTTTCAAATTATAGCACATCATTTTTTTGAGCATCTTATATATAATTTATTAATAAATAGAATCAATAAAATGTGATAAAGAAACAAAATATTTAAGAATTATTATCACTTATCGATCAAACGCTTACAGCGTTTATCTATTGAATAAGATAGTTAATCAAAAAATATATTATAATGAATAAAATAATAATTCAATTTATATATACAATTAAATAGTTTAAATATTAAGATTGTACTATTTATATTATTATTATTATGCGTGTACTTATTTTCATTATTATAAATGCAATATTCACAATTATTTATCAAGAAATTTCCTAGATTTTTATCAAAAAAATTGTGCTCAAGATTTCTAAAACAATCTAAAACATATCATTTAAATTTAATTGTATACTTATAAATATTATGTTTTTTAATTTAATTTTTGCCAATATACAAGATAGATCTCATATATTTATGAAATGAATACTTCTTGCAGTCTTATGATTTTATATTGTATGTATTATCTACAAGATGCAATAAACAATTTCATGATTATATATACAAAGTGCTTAAAAATTGTAGGTTTACTTAAAATAAATTAAGGAATAAAATAAGAATATTTATAAAGAGATTACAACAATTTTTTTTTAATAAAATAAAACTTAATATTTATATAAACTTCTATTCTATTATAAACTTCTGTTTTAAAAGAAAAAATAAAGATATAAAAAATAATATATTTCATTCATAGTAATACTATTAAATAATTAATTTTTAAAATATCTCTTTACTCTTAGATTTTTCTTAATATTCATATTTTCTTTTATTTATCTTGAATAATAATTCATATTTACAAATTTTATAATTAAATAAGCAATTGGTTTTTTAATACATTCGTTTTATATCTAAAAATTTTTTAGTATAGATATTTATTTTATTATACCTACAATTTTGAAACAGTTTGTATAAATAAAAAATTTAATGAATAAAATTTAAAGTGAAAGAAGCGATAATTCTCTCATATTTAAATATATTATATGAATGATATTTTGTTATTATATTATTATGAATATAGATTATTAAAAAATTATTATTGCATATAAATGATGATTCTTTCAATTGACATAGCTAATCAAAATTACAGACATATCATCCATATATGTAAAAATATAAATCAAGTATGGTTAAAGTTCATTTATAAATTTTACAAAATAACAATATAGATTTTATTGGAATGTTATGTTTTCATATGAAATCAGATGATTATTTGTTTTTTATATATGTTTTACTCTTTTTTATACATTATTATTGTCATTTCTAAAATTTATAAATGAACAAATTGATAAGTCATTGCAGCACATATTCATATTGTAGAAATTTCTATCTATGAAACTATATATTATAATAAAAGGACATTGATGATCAATCACTTCTTTCTTCTTGCACGCACATGAATAATTTAGCACAAATCATATTGAAATTATCTGCAAAAAATAAATCATTTTTAAGTATATAAATATTTTAAATTTTACATTCATAAATTAAATATATTCATAATTATTTACTATTCTTATTTACTATATATTTTAATTGTAATAACATTATATAAATTCAAATATTTTAATTAAATTTTAATTTTCATTGAAAAAATTATTTTATATTGATTTTTTATATTTTATGATAAATAATTTTTTATTTATTTTTTATAAACACATTTATTTATTATAAAAATTATACATAATTAGACTAACAATTTTAATAACTAAAAATAAATATAAGAATTTAAAATCATAATTAACGATAAATACTTACGAGATGATTGTATAAGCCACTTAGGTTTCTTTTCCCAATAAATAAAAATCAAATACATTGGAATGCCAGATAAAATGATTACCACTCCTACACCAACTTCCCATGGTGAAACATAGCATGGAAATATTACTAAGAAAGCACAAATGATGAAAAATATAATTGGTAATAAAATTGACACCTAAAACAAAATCATAAATAAATTTTATATATATATTTTC